TGATGCTGCTGATGCTGTTGATGCTGTTGGTGTTGCGCAATATTCTTACTCTGATTACTTAAAGACGATGTATCCAACAAATTATTACTGCTGCTAGAGCAATTGTTAGCACTGGGCATGTTCGATTTCGGTTGACCTAGTACCGGCGAGCCCAATGTCGTTTGCGTAACATCACTTGACGTCGCAGTATTTGGAGATTCAACATATATTTTCACTCCATGCGAGTGTTGTACGTGTTGAATAAGACGCCAAGCAGAGTTGTGACGCGTTTTGCAGGTAGAACATGTGTAATTGCTGGGCTCTGTAAGTAAAAAAAAAAAAAAAAACAAAGAAGAAGAAAAGAAAAACACAAAAAATAGACCAGAACCAAAAAAAGTGTAAGCGCAAATATATTTTAAAGTCAATAAGTTTTTTAACTTCGTTTAAGATATTTGTAAGGGCTTCCATAGCTTCCTACAGATGTCTTGATCGACGTTGGTGTATGCGTTTATATGTGTGCGTATGTATGATTATACACATATAGGTGGATGTATTTACACCAATATGCGTTTTATGCAAATGAGCAAATGAATGCAACTACACCTATCCCTAAATTTCTTGCCCGATATGATTTCATTAAAATAATTAATAGTGTGCGAAAACGCAATGATTGTGTAGTCTAATACAACAATTGCAACAACAATAAGACAACAAGAATCGGTAATATTTTCGCGGTAACCACGCGACAATATTTAAAAGCGCGCACCTCTCATGAGATGGGAATCGTCGTCAAATTGCAATCATAGCATGTATCGACCAAGTTGCTCTTTCAATCGCAATCGCAATCGTAATTGTCGGTTGTGGTGTGCACTCATTATAAATGAATCTTAGGTGCGGACGCGCTGCTCTGTGTAGGCAACTATAATATCAAATGTATATATATATATATATATATGTGTATGCGAAAATTCTTCTTGATATTAGTGGTAGAGAGCGTTATTGTCGTAGTCTACGTTGTCGTCGTGTTAGCATAACGATCTTTAAAGTTGAAATGTAACGTCACGCAACACACCTTGATTTTCTTGGCTGGGCAAACAACCAGACAATAATAAAAAAAAAAACACAAAAAAAAAAAAAAAGAAAACAAAAAATATATAAAAAAAAAAAAGAAAACCAAAAAGTCTTGAAGATGCTTATGGCAGGCAAGCAGGCAGCACATCTGTATTTGTTGTTCGATTTAGATTTTTTGGTGTGTACGGCCCACACCGTCGGCATGGTTTTCTGCTTGTACACGAATTCACTTCCGTTAGCCAGACAGCACTCGCTCAACAGTTTCGCTGGCAAGAGCAGTACGGTGGCATTTTCAAAAATGTTTGTCAAACGTTGTAAAAACAACTAAATAAAAAAAAAAATAAAAAAAAAAAAAAAACACCATACCATACATAGACATACATACGGTCCTTAAGCTTAAATAAATGCGATCTGAATATATGGCTGGTTGACGTTTATGTTACGCATACAAATGACCGCCATTGGATAGTTTACATCGCATTTTACGTTGCCTCCTAACCGTAGCGAATGTATTAAAGCGTTTTAAAATGAACAAGTGTGGCGTCGTATCATGATATATCGTAAGCGTACGTACGGTGGAAGTTTTCAATTGATCCCTATAGCGGTTAAAGGGTGTTTAGTATGGACCAATGCGAGCGTAGAGACCATTCAAACAATTTTATGTCCATAATTTGTGACGACAACGCCATATGTTACTTAAAAAATGGTTTTCTGCAAAATTTCGCTTTTCGATTATGAAAAACGAAATTCGCAATTTAAAGTAACGACCGCAAAAAAAAGGTACAATTTCCCTTGCAAAAAGTGCAAAAAATAATAAAAAAAAAATAAAAAAAAAAAAAAACTCGACAATAAAATATGTACATATGTGGAACCGCATGTAAACACGCACAAACACGTCCAAATCATTATGATTTTACCCCCATACTTAAATAATTTATTTTCCATCATTTACAGGGCTCGACGTTTAAAACACGACGCGCTATTGACAAACCAGGCGCGTTCCTCTTTTTTTTTCTTTCTTTTTTATGTACATGCACGTAATAGTCGTAATTTTCAAGGATCACGGGAGCAGCTGCTGAATGATGATTTTTTTCCAAAAAACAAAATTATTTTATTTATTTATTTTTTTATTTTTTTTTTTTTTTGAATATTTTAAGAAAGAAAGTGTGGTCTGCACTTTTGTATTTTAAATATATTCGTATGCCAGCATAAGCATATCGAGTAACCGCGAATTCGTGCGTTTAGCTCGTGCAGAGAAGCATCAGGATCTTAAAATAGATGACGATCACATATTTATTTCCTTCGGTGATAGTGAAAGGCCAAAAAAAAAAAAATAAAAATAAAAAAATAAAAAAAGACAGCACGTCAAAGGTTAACTCATCTCGGGCCTAATGTATAAACGATAAGCGTACAAGGGTCGCGTAGATCATATTTTCGATGAGCGGAAATGCAAATGAATTTAAATTAAAAGAAACAAGAACCAGCAATAAAAAAAAAAAAAGGGGAAAAAATCCTAAAAATGAGGTGCGAAGGAACGCTTCATGATTATCTAGCAGTTGCTTAATAGGGGTTGTTGTTATTGTTGTTATGTTTATGTTGTTGTTGAATGGTAAATAGTAGATAGATACAATGAGGTACAGACATCTGACGGGAAGGGTTTAACAAGAAATGACAAAAAATTATAAATAATAATAGTTGACGACATGCGCGTATCATGTACTTTTACTTTTATTTGCTTTTTGGGGTTTTTTTCTTGCTTTATTTCTTTTTTTTGTTTTGTAAAAAAACCAAAACAAAAAAGTTATATAAAGAAATCCAATAATGCTCTTATAACAACAGACAATGGGATGAAACTCTGACTGACTAAATGATAATCTTGCGTTTAGAATATTTGTCGCAAGCATGTCACGCGTCATTCACATGAGTATTTACGGCGGGTTAAGTAATAAACGTTGCACTGCTGCTGGCGCTGCTACTTCTGCTGCTGCTGCTGCTGCTATTGTTGTTGCTGTTGTTGCTGTTGTTGCCGTTGTTGATACAGGATAACGTAGTCATATGGTCTAGTGCACTAGGATGCTATTATATCCTGGATCTCTGACGAAGAAGACTTGTATCAACCACATGAAGCTCACTGCAGGAGCTGAACAAACGCATTCTTTCCTGTCGTCTTCTTAAGGCGACCCAAACATATTGTTTATACATATGATAGTTATGCATGCGGCTTTTCTGTTGCCAGACAAATTCTTATCAAATCTTTGGCAAGAGGGGAAAGATTGCTTTGTCTGCTTTTGGCAGTTCGAGGTATAACCCTTTTAATAAGTGCATAAATGTATGTATGTAAGCGTATAGAAAAAATTGTGAAAGAGATACTACCCACACCCTGTATTAACAAAGCGTAACAGATAAGTGACCGCATTTGACAACCAGCTATAACGAAAACAATTGACCGCCCGTTGATTTGTGCTAAGAGCCCATCAATTTTGATGTCATAATTGCTCACGTCAACGGTCCCTTTCCTCTCCCTCCCTCTCTGTCGCCCTCTCTCTCTCTCTCACACACACACACACTCTTTTATTATTATTCTTATCTTTATCTTTATCTCTTCTTTACTATGCTTTCTAAGTTTTCGTCGCTTCTACTTCCGCTTCTCGGCGGCTTAGTGTTGTCCTTTATGCGTTACATTTCGATAAAATTCTTTTTGAAAAGTTGGAAAACATTTTTTTTTCCTCTTACTTGAAAAATTAAATCCTTTCTCCCAATGGAATACATAATATTCGCAGTTAGTACAAGAGGAAAGAGGAAAGGGTGCCTTGCCTGCGCAAAATTTCATAATCAGTTTATTCGATAGAAGTACTTTCCATATTTCAGGGATACGCTTACATTTCGCTTACATTTAAGATCCCGATCCAGACGAAATGCGTCTAAAATAAATCTAAGAAGAGCTTTGTATTTATTGTGCGACGAACCGGGCTGATTAGGGATTTTTGTGCAGCCTTTATAGATTTAATGGGCAAATTTTTTTTGTTGTTTTTCAATTTTCAAAAATCGGAAAGCTGCACAATGAGACGCTGAATGAATGAATGGATAAGCGTAAGGTAGTTGTGGAGTTAGTGGCCGTGTTTGAATCCTTTCACTTTAAAGCACAAGCAAGCGTACATATAAGCCGTCATATTATGTATAATATAACATTAGCGTTAACATGACATTTTCAGATTATTGTTACATATTGCAAACATACACAAACGTACGTTAATATATAAATACCTGAATACACAAGCACACATGAATATTTGTGTATGTAGAGGATTACGGACATCAGGTAGATAATACGTTACGATGCCATTACCATCCACGCATTCAACAATACATACATATAAACCATACAAATATACACACATACACACACACACGCATAAATGCTTTATGAGTGCGCATACACATCGAAATGTTACGTAATTAGATTTATCCAACAAAAATAATTGCGATTGTGAAACCACAATTCATTTATGCGATTCTCATCACATAGTGTCATAGCAAATTGTCATTGTATGTCATTTTGACAACTTTAAATATACTTGTGCGTATGCAAGTGCCGAGTTGTATTTGCCGAGAGTGTAAGAAGCACTTTACATTTTCTACATAAATAATATTTATATGTAAATATGAAAAAACGTGCAAATTAACGCAAAAATTGCAAATACATTCAATTTATCACCACGTTTATACCGTGTAAAAAAAGAAAGAAAGGCGAAACGTCGATCCCATAAAACATGCATATTTTTCGATCAAAACGGATTATGCATGCATCCTTAGAGAGATTGACAACTAATATCTATTTCGGAGTCATATCGCCTCGCACGGACCCCCATTGCCGTACGTGTTCAGTATGTGTTCACGTTACTATATATATATGCATATATAGATGATGCTCTTCGAAACTGATTTATCAAATGCTGATTACTAATATTTTCCCACTTTCTAGTTACTGTGAACGCTTTAAATATTATTTTCTCCAATTTAGGAACTAATTAACTAACTCCTCCCTCCTCCTCCTCTTGCATACCTTGCCAGAACGACGGGAGAGAGTCGTTATCAGTTCGTTTGTCAAAATTCAAGAACATTAGCATGATAAACGCATCTTTCACTCTTTTTAAAACGATGCGAGTATTTTTAAAAATTTTGATCGATTCATTCATTCATTCAGTGGCTTAATAGGCCTTGGAGGCCTATTCGTACACTTCTATTCGCGCT